CTTCATGCCATGGCCCTTCTTATCTCTGGGCTTTGCGCATGCCCACGTTTCTCCCTCGAATTCTCTTTCCCACTCTCCCTGTCTGTTGAACGTCTACACTTCATTTAAGACTACAATCAAATGTCACCATTCCATGAAAGCTGCCTGTGCCGGCGTCCCCAGTGGCCAGATATACTCTACCCTGTTTTCCAACAGTGCTTTTCATAACCCAATTTTGTCACTTCAACCACGGCACTGTAATTCTTTCTTGACTTTATACTTCATTGTACAGGAATTTCTTGTATGGGCAGGAGCCATGTTAATTACCCTATTCCCAGGGCATAAAATAAAGCCTCATGCATACCAGATTCTTAATTATTTGTTGAATAAATAAAAAGTATTGTGGCACCCAAAACACTACAGTTAGAAGCATGTGAATAAGAGTCCTAAGATATCTCCGATAAAGAGAATGTTAATGAATATCTCAGGGAATGTAAATGGTTTTCTAAACATTGAAACTGTGAAACACACTGAATTCAATAATGACCTTTGTTCTTTTTCGTGTTTAATACTGTTATGTCCAATCTTTCTTGTGTATTACACAAGATAAGCTCATTGAGGCCAGGGGCCTGAAATATCTTGTTCAGCCTAACAGTACTGATGCTCCAACATCATTTTCTTATGAAGAGACTGGCCAAGAAAATGCTGTAGCTGTTTCTCACTTTCCATGCTTACATCTGTCTTCCCTGAATGGTAGGTATTTCTGCATGTATCCTCTTACCCAGGTTACAAGCTCTTTGAGGGGAGGAAGGTAGTCCAAGCGCCTTTGTTCCCAGAAGAGTGCCTTGTGCACAGTACTTACTCAATAAATACCTGATGAGCGATTTAGAAAACATTAATTTAAGAAACATTGAGAGATTTAAAAATAACTTTTGAAAGTGCTATTTTCCATTCTACACCGAAAGGCTTCACTTTATAAAACCAGCTCGGTATTAAACTCGTTATGGCAAGCATGCATTGGTAAATACAGCTGAATATAAAAATGGGTGGCTGGCATCTTCGGTACCTGGGCGTGGAACACACACCTACTTCAGAAAACCACCCTGTGCATGTGAGGTTGCGTATTTCCGTCTATGAAGCCAGTACCCTAAGTTGCTTTACTTGGTGCTGTTAGGCAGGCACTATTTGTATCTTTTGAAATATCTCCCCCCAAATGGCTTCCACCTGAGAGACTGTGAATGGGGTATAGCAAGGGAGATTGGGACTGAGTTCTTCAAACAATGTTACTGGTTAGTGAGAGGACTGTACTCCATGACCAGGGTTTTATGAGCTCAGTGAACTCTCAACAGGCCAGGCCATCTCTGTCAGATGCTGTTTTCACATGTTAAATTGTAGACAGCAACAGGACATAAATAGAAAAATTACAAAGACAGATGAATTCGAAAAGAAGGTTAAAATTAAGAATAAATTTAGGGATAGCCAGAAACACTGAAAGAGGCTAAAATAATGGGTCCACGGGAAGGAGATCACCCAAATGTGGCAAATCTCACATTTAATTTACAGCTTGAAGAATTTCTAAAGAGGGTCCACGGGAGATGGAATTGGAAAACTGGAGGGAAATTAAGAAAGCAGGGATCCAAGGGCTAAAAGTACTTATCTAGCTCCTATCTGTGCACCTGCTCAGGGTGGGTGTTCTAGACAGAGGGGTACCTGGACACCCTGTCTCTGCTCCCTGACAGCACGTAACTCAGCATCTCTGAGTGGCGTGGGAGGATGAGAGTCGAGGATCCATGGTTTGTTTCCAGTGTGGTCTCTTGTTTCTCTAAAGTCACTCGTTCCATTGCACTATTACGGTCCTTTTACTTTTATGGAGTGTAGTGTGGGGAAGGAGAGAGGCTGATATTCAAGTAAAAGGGGTAATAGAGGCCCAAGATTTAAGCCTGTCAAGATGTGTGGCCACAGTGAAAAGTAAAGTGAAAGGGCTTTTGGAAGGGATTCTGTTCTAGCTAGATAAAGGTCCTAAATGTGTCTGGGGAGTAAGAAGCCAGAGGAAACGCAGAGATCAGAGGAATGAACTGGATCCTTCTGCGAATCTGGGTTCCCTCCGAGGACAGAGAGTGGTAGAAATTCTATCAGAGGCAGAGATAACCCACATCTGCACGACAGAGCTGCCTCATCCACAGAGCGAGGGAAAGGCCTCCCTCAGAGGTTCCCAACTAGGACTGCACATTAGAACCTCTGGGAGCTTTTAAAAACCCTAGCAGACTCCGGGTGCTCCCCGAGAGATTCTGATTTAATTAGTCTGTGCTGGCAACAGTATTTTAAAAAGTTGCCCAAGTAATTAAGTACAGCAAGAGATGAGAACTAACCACTGGACTAGATAAATAAAGAGATATGCATATAGAGGAGAGCAAATAGATTAACTCACTTCCCTCTTTCCCCTCAGAAGTAGGCAGTGTTTCTGAAAGTGTCACATGTTCATGGGTCATTCTTGTGATGGGATTTGATATGATGACTCATGGATGAGCCTTTTTTTGCATATATACACATATACATTGAGTTGGCCAAAAAGTCCGTTTAGTTTTTTCTGTAAAATAAAAGACACATTTTTAATTTTCACCAATAACTTTATTGATATGGATATTTTGAGTATGCTGGCTATCTCCTGCTGTTGCTTATAGCCAGGGGTCCTGCTAAACATCTTTCAGTTCAGAAGACAGCCCCATAGCAAAGAATTATTTGGCCAAAATGTCAATAGTACCAAGAAACTTCGCAAACCACTTTTAACACATTTGCTCAGTCACAGCACCTTCTCCATACACTGAACAAATCTCTTTTTGAATTTCAGTTGTGTTTTTACCTTTCTTGAGGTAATAAAGCACAATATGCTGAAAAATGTTGCATGTTTCCATCTTCATTTTTTTAAAGATTTTATTTATTTTTTAGAGAGAGGAGAAGGGAGGGAGAAAGAGAGGGACAGAAACGACAATGTGTGGTTGCCTGTTGTGCCTTCCCAACTGGGGACCTGGCCTGCAACCGAGGCACGTGCCCTGACTGGTAATCAAACCGATGACCCTTTGGTTCTCTGTCCAGTCCTCAATCCACTGAGCCACACCAGCCACGGCATCCTTCCATCTTCAATATTAAAATGGCTGCACAAAAATTCACCAGTTTTGATAAGTTTTTAAAATATGCGCACTGATATGTCAGCTGTCACAATTCAATCTAAAATTGTTTCAAATGAAGTTAAAGACAACTAAGCACGACTAGAGCCATCATATGGAAAAATACTAAACAAACATTTTGGCCAACTCAATTGTTTTATGTATGCATACATGTTTCTTTACATATATACTTATATATGTAAATACATAAGTATATATTTGAATAAACACTTGAAAAACATAACCAACTTGAAAGCATATCAAACTTGAAAATTCACATCTATTATTGCTTCGGATGAGGCTCAGGTAGGCACTGAAGTTTAGCAAGTGCATCTATTTAAGTGAATGGTCTGTAAATTCTAGTACAAGCAGCATGAGCATTGGGCAGGAACTTCTAAAAGAGGTGTGCAGACAACTGGAGTTTGGGGAACCTAGAATTGAAGCAGCCCAGAGCCCATGCAATCTTTCTCCCCAGATCTTCACTGCTCTCAATGCATCTCTCCCCCCACAGCTGTGCAGTTGGCCCAATGCCATCTGCTCCCCACGCTTCGCACATGGATGCCTACGCCTCATCTGAAGCATTTACATGCTTCTGAACTGGGCTCAGACTCAAACCAGCCTCTCCTAGCCTCACAGTCACGATCCGATTACTGATGTCATAGCCTGCAACTCACTTATCTCCTTTTTCAGATTCAAATCTGAGCTAAACTTGACTTAGGGCGCCCTAGCTGTCTTAGCATAATAAGGCAGAAAACCAATGCTCACAAGGTGTTCCAGCCCTACAAGCACAAAAGGGAAACCAAAGCGACCCAAATCCAGGTTATGCAAACTCAAAAGGAGGGGGTGAGGGGAGAGATATGAAAAAATCCAAAAGGAGCAAACAGAACCAGCCTGCAGAGAGGCACTGACATTTGCACTCTATTTGTAGTTCTCAGGGCATGATGCAACTTCGGGTTGCCCAATTTATGTTTGCAAATTTTCTCCTGCCCCACAACGAGCTTCAAAAGCTTCCAACTCTGCAAAGTTCCTTTTAAAAAAAGTTCCAGTCTCCAGCTCAAGAAGGCTGCACAACAGGCCAGGTGACCTCACTTTCACTTGGGCCCTACAAAGTGTGCCGAGGTAGGTAAACCAAAGAAGAAGGCGCAAAAGCGGGCAGAGGAACTTGACAGCCACGTTTGTACTTTTCCCTCCCCATTCTCACGCCCACTTCATTAGAAATTGCCAAGGGCACCTTACACACTTCACTTTCTTTCTGCCCTGCTTCGGGAGCCCTGTTCCTCTCCCCAGTCCAAGGGACACTCGTAATGGCACGCGGGGAAATGCCCAGGTCTTCAGCCTTACTCCTCCTCTTTCTGCTACCTCCTGATTGCTTTCTACAGAGTGGCAGCCTCCTGGTCACCAGTTACTGGCTACACCTTTGCACCACCCAACAAAATGGCAGGTTAGCAACAGGCAAGGCCGAGAGCGCCTGCTCTGGCTCTAGCCAAGCGCGGCCGCTGGCCAAGCCTCCGGGGGGATCTCTGACGGCGCCCTTAAACCCAACACTCTTCTCCCAAAGTCCCCAAACCTCCGTCCCGCCGGACCGCCTGCTCGATCTCTTGGGGCCATTTCTATCGCCAGCGGAGGCGCAGGTGCCAGCGTTAACAGGTGCCAGGCGAGAGGGCCCGGGTGGCAGCGCCGCCACCCAGCGTCATGCCGCGCTGGGCTCCTATGGGACCCCGGGAGGAGCGAAGGGAAAGGCCACATTAAAGGGAAGGGAGCTGGGGGGCGCGCAGAGAGAGAAAGCAAGGGGGCCAAGGATGCCGCTGCCAGTCCTCGCTTCCCAGGTGCGACCCTCGCCGAGGTTGCCCCACTTACGATCTCCAGGCAGACGAAGGCTCCCGAATACGTCCGCAGGATGTCAGGGCCGGCTGGCAGGGTGACCCGAGGGGCCGGGAAGGACACGGCGGGGTTCGGGGGCGGCACGACTGGCGCTCCGCCGGCCGACATGCTGCCGCTGCCGCTGCTGCGTCTCCGCGCGCCGCCACCTCCCTCCGCCCGCCTCCAACCTCCCGGGCTCAGCCGCGCCTTGGAGCTCGGGTCCTCGCGTTGGGGAGCGCCGCGCGGGAGGGGGCGTGGCCGCACTACCCGGGGCCTCGCGGGTCCCGCCCCGTCACGTGGATCCAGGTGAGCGCGCCACCGCCCCAGCGCCCGCGCGGGTCACGTGCACAGGTGCGACCGCCACCTGGCGTGATCCTGCTCCGCTTTCCGTGTCCCCTGTGTGGACTAGCGCCCTGCCCTCCTGGATCCTCTCAATCCCCGGCCCCATGGCTGTGCTCGTTCTTTATTCCTTCTATTCTTCCTAGTTTCCACCTGTTCTCATCCATTTGGTTTCCCCGACTCTCACGGCTCCCCTGCTCCACTTTCTTCAATTTAACTGCAAACTGAGCTTGGGGCTTTGAGTCAGAAGGTAAAATCAAGGTCACCAGTCCCACCTAAAAATTGGGGTGGGTCTGCTTTGAATGGGACTGTGGTGGGAAGTTTCAAACATGATCATCAGGACAGTGTGGGCGTTGGAGTCAGATGGCTCAGCTCCAAGACGTGCTGGCGGCGGGTGCTTGGTAGGTAACCTGCTGCTTTCGGTGCCAGCGGTGCAATGTGCTTGTTCATCAGTGAAATGTGTTGAGAGTGTCTACCTGGTATGGATGCCCGAATTACAATGATATAACAGGAAAAGAGTTCAGCACGTAGTAAGGGCTTCTTAAATGATACCCAATGTGATGACTGCTAGTTCTTGACTGTTTACACACGCACATATCACGTTTTTGTGTACCTACGATGTTGCAGAGGTTCTATTTGCCATATAAAACTTTAATCATTAATTTCACTTAAAAGGGATTTTTGAAAGTCTGTGTATGACCCGGCTGGTGGTTGCCAGAGGGAAGGGGGCTGGGGCCCGGGTGGAAAAGGTGAAGGAATTAAGTACAAATTGGAAGTTACAAAATAGGCACGGGGATGTAAATAAAGTATAGCATAGGGAATATAGTTGATAACATTTCAGTAACTATGTATAGTGCCAGGTGGGCACTGGGAATATTGACAGAAACACTTTGTAAAGTATAGGATTGCCTAACCACTATGGTGTATGCCTGAAACCACTGTAAAATAACACCAAAAGTAAACTGTAATTAAAAAAGTCTATGTGTGCTTTGGATTCCTTCTCCCTATTTATCCCCATTTTTATCTTTGGTTTTAATGTCAACATTTTGTAAGTGAAATAAAGGAAATGAGATTAATATTCTCAGAGACGAGCTGAAGATAAAACAGCACACACCAGCATACACATGTAGACCAGATTGGAAAGATACTAGTTGACATCATCAGACATCCTCCAAATTGAAATACTGATCTTGTCAGCGAGGTTTAGCCTTTGAGGGACTGTTCACCACTATGCACTATTTAGCAGATTTTAGTCCTTCTACCTCTTCATTATTTTATAAGTGAAACTCATAGGTGTGGTGGCAGCATCAGGGTAGAAACCACAAGACAGGGTGTGGGTGAAACCTTTTGAAGTTACACCTTCCTATCTTCTCCGCCTCTTAGTCATCTCTTTCTAATATTTAACGTATGGTATTTAATAGGAAATCTAATGCTTTCTGAACTGATTTGTTTCCTTAGTAAATCTTTTCTGTGTGCAGACCCCAACTAGCAGAAAATAATCTTCCTGTCTGTTTTGTTTTATTTTCTGCCTAACATTTCTCACTTAGCACCTAAAGAATGTTGAAAGGACCCTGGCTGGTGTGGCTCAGTTGGCTGGAATGTTGTCCCATACACCAAAAGGTCGTGGGTTTGATTCCCAGTCAGGGCACATGCCTGGGTTGCAGGTTTGATCCCCTGGTTGGGGCAGGTACTGGAGGCAACTGATTGATGTTTCTCTCTCACATAGATGTTTCTCTCCCTTTCTCTCTCCTTCCCTTCCCTTCTCTCTAAAATCAATAAGCATCCCCTTGAGTGAAGATAAGAAAAACAAAAGACAAAGACTGTTCAAAATGGAAGACCTCTACAAAAAAATTCATGTTGGAGATGCTCAGTAGCTATAAACCCCCCACCCCAAAATGTTAGTGAATAAACTTAAAATGACTTTGGGAGTTTCTAGAAGTGCTAATGACCCAGAAGAGCTTCAACTGTGAAAGTTTAAAATATTGCCACCAAGGGGAAAGTTTCTCACTGTATCCCTTCCAGAATGCTCCGTGCTATACCTTGTGTCCCTGACCGTCCTCAGCCTTCCTGCTTTCCCTCTTCTGCCTGCTTCCACAATGACCGGTGGAGTGAAAATAATTGTCACTGAGCTCCCTTCTATAATTGTAACATTATATGCTTGTAAACTAATTCCTCCCCGGAATAGTTTCCCTCTTATGACCACTACCCGAACCTGTTTTCTCTTAATAATGTCAGTTGCCTTCTAATAAAGGCAACATTTCTGAAATCAAAGGGAGAAAAGTACTCATTCCCAGTCCACTCCGCCACTCTGTCTCTTTCTCCACGCAACTGACCACGAGCTCTGAACAGTTTCACCTTTCTGTTCTTTATTCATCCTGTTCCCATGGTTTACTAACGTCACCTTGCATGACTCTTACGTTGCTCGCAGATTTCCTTTGGATCCCATTTTTTGGAATGTCAATGTTCATATTCCTGACACTTTCAATGATATTGCCTCACAGCATCTGGATCCACCTTATTACTTGGGATTTCACTGCTGCCATTCCCTGGCTTGCGGACATTCTCTCCGATGACTACATCCTATTCATCGAAATCTCCTTCCCTCTCAGTCCCTCGGACTCCAGCCTTTTAGTCTTTCCTTATTCTCTCATTGGCCCCATCCTGGCTTTTCTGGTTTCCCTAATCATGCTGTGTTCATGGGAAGGCTTTTTAGAGATGCTCATATTAGTCCTGGGTATTGCCTGCCATCTCGTACTTTACTATACTTACCCACAGGTCCCCATATATTCTTCAGCTTGGGTTCAACCCACCATCTGTGTTTTCCTTCCTTGATTCTGCTCTCACATCGTTCAGGGTTGCTATAAGAGTACTATAATCAAGACTCTTGTTTCCACTGTTAATTCGTATGATCCAGCCTTGATGGGGCTGTAGGGATTCCCAGCTCTCATTTTGTTCCACCTCTTCTCCCTCCCTTTCTTTTCTCTGGTATTTCATAGTTTCTTTCATTCTTCCCATTTTTATGCCTTGTACAAGTAGACAATATATCCAATGAATGAGAGCAAATCTAAACAATTCCAACCTTCCCTACTTTCTTTTAATTTACAGGAAGCTTTAGGACCTTGAACCAGTAATACTTGTTTCATTGAAAACAGGACCATCAATCCAGTTACCCAAAACCAACAGGTGGGCATTTCCTTTGGCAGCTCCTCTCACGCCGCCTATTTAATCAGTCATCATGTCTGGAAGTTCTACCATCTCATTGTCCAGCATCTTTCCACTTCTCTCCATCTCCACCATTTCACTCTGTCTCGCGATACTATCCTTTCTCCCACGAATCCCCCAGCAGTCTCATTTCCCTCCCTCATATTCTCTAAACGGCCATCAGAATGATTTCAAAACACAAAATCAATCACTGTCACTCTTCTACTTACTGTTCCCTTATGTTCTCAGGATCAATTCCAAACACTCTGGAATGCATTCATTCAAGGTATTTCTGGGGTGTAGCTTGCAAGTCCTATTAGCCCATCTACAATCCCAGTAACTCTCCTGCCTCCAGACCGATACACATTCTCCTCCCTCCAGGGGAACCTCCCTTCTCCTACCACTCTTGCACTCCACATCTGTTTCCTGGTTACTTCCTTGGGGTCATAAAGGAGATTTCTGAACGGCAGCTTTTCTCTGGTCATTGAAGAGCATGTAGGGCCCCCTCCCACCCCATGTGTTTCCATCATCTGAGGTGCTTACTCTGCACAGAACATCTATTTTACTAAGATGAAATTGTATTTTCACTTGTCTCCTATCCCTTTGCTAGTGGTGTGCAACAGGATATTAAATTGAAAAGTTCAGTGGAGGCACCAAGAGATGATAGATCGCAGATACCAATGAGAGCTGCGAATCAGACCACCCGGCGTTTTAAAGTGGGCTGATTCAGGACCGTTCCGATAATCTGTAAACCCTTCACTTCTGTTGAGAGTACAGAAAGCTCAGGAATGAGGATTTGGAAGGAAGGTGACTTGGGGGAGAGCTGTGCTGTGAGTCACACTTCCCCTCCCCCTCCTCCAGTCCCTCGCGCACATGGCAGGAAGTGTCTGAGATTTATTCACATTTCATAATAGGAGCTCAAGTAATATCAGCTGGCAGAATAAACTTGCATTTAAATTTCTCTGCTTCATCACACTACTCTCCTCTTTTCTTCCTGTTTCATAAAAAGTGTCTCTTTCTTTATCCAAAGTTGAGCTCCATCTTAGCTTTTCATTATTTCCCTTTGCACGTCCCTTAGGAAATTAATCCATTAATTTTCCCTTTTCTCTCTTCAATTTTTAATTTCTACTTCACACTCAATCTTTGCCTCGGGTGAACATATTCAAGATTCCCTTATCATCAAAACAATGGGAATAAGAAAAGAAATGTTTTATTCTTGTTCCAGGTGTTCATAAAAGGGTCATTAATTTGTTAGTAAGTGTTCTGCTAGGAGGATGAGATATTCTAGAAGACTGGGAAACAGACGACAGAAGGCTTTTCTACTTAAAAGAAAATCCTTGAGCTTTCCACCTAATAAATGCTAACAGTGCATTGAGGAACTCCTTTGTTACATTCCCTGGATCTATTGGAAGATGCAGGCTGTATGTCAGTGAGAAATAAGGATAAATATGACCTAGAATGATACCCTGCAGACTCACCTCCAAACAAAGGAGCAAGCTCCGTGGTAGCAGGCTACGCCCCAGTCCTTGGGATGAGCAAGCCTAGTCAAACGCCAAGGGTTGGTCTCCAACTCTTGATGATGGACTGAGGCTTCCCCAGCCATAAACCCCAATGTTGCAAT